ATTCTTGAAAAACCTTAAAAGTGTGGTTTTGAACTCTATATCCAGTCGTTTGCTTTCCTCCATTTCTGTCATTTGTATCCTGTTTCTTTGTCTCGGCATTTTTTATGCTTCACTGTGTCGATGGAGTGGCTTTCTGTACTAAGTGTCCTGTAGGGCCCAGTGGCTCAGCCTCCCCAATTACCCGAGGTAGACACTCTTGTTGCACCCCCTTGTGGTCTTTGTGCACAGTCTTGTTGTAGTTAAGCCTTGATTGTTGTAGGTAACACTGGGAAGGATTGACCTCCAGGCCAATTGGCTCTGAGAATCAGCTGTTTCTGCAGTAGGAGAACTGGCTCCTGTATCTCTAAGGAGGTGCTAATCCAGCCTCTGCCTGATGCTAGTCAGCAGAAGCCAGCTGTGAAGCAATACAAGTTGCCCTGGGGCCTTGGGCCAGCTGCAGTTTGTTAAGTAATTTTCAGATTGCAAAGGGCTGGGCCTTTCATATGCAAAAGCCTCAGTGCAGGGCTTGGGCGGGGCAGGGTCCCAGGGGATCAACAGGGTGGAGCGAGCAGTTATGGCTGCTCTCAGTCCTGCCCTCAGAGGCCCCACTTCTCAGTGTCCCGGCAATCGCTGAAAGCACCTCTGAGAGAAAGCTGCCCTCGACCGCACTGCACCTCCTCTGAGTCTCGGTATGCTTTTCTCTTTCCTTCTAGTTGTAGAATTTCCACTCAGCCAGCCTTCCTGTGGTTCTGGATGATGTCCGTTCCGTCTTTTAGTTGTAGTTTTGAATTTGTTGTGGTAGGCAGCAATTTCTGGTGTTTACCTATGCCACCATCTTGGTTTCCCCTAAAATGGCTATTTTAAACAGTAAACATAAAATAAACTTGGGAGAACTGAGAAAATAACCACTCAAATCACTTTCTTTGAGGTTTAATCCTTCATACTCTTCCAGTTAAGAAAGACTGAAGAAAGGCCCAGCTCCCTCACCTGTCTGATTAAGGCCTGCCTTCCAGGTTCAAGTTTCAATGCTGATTGATTCTAGTGAAACAGGAATTTTTAGGGGTGAAAAAGACAGGTTTAGGAAATTTTAGAAATTAAGAGGACTATAGAAGAAGCACAGGGCTACAGAGCAGCAGATGGTATATTTCCAAAGACTAGGGGAGCTGAAAAGCTGCAACAAGTACATTTCCATAGAATGAGGGAACTGGGAACAGCAGAAGGTCTACATTTACAAAATAAAGGGAAGGAAGTCCCTCATCCAGAAGAAGAAGAAACCCCAAAGGGAATAGAAAAACAATAAGGAAGGAGGGGAGGAAAACCTCACATGTCTTATGTGAGGTTCGACCTTTGAACTCAGAAGTTACTATAGTAACCAGTCCAAGGAAATGACCTATCAGAGGGATATCAACGCACCAAGATCTACAGCCTTTATAAACCATGGAAACAGGGACTCAGTGGGACTCCTCCCCTTCCCCACATGAGAGTCCATTCTGTGGGACCCTTTCCCCCTCCCATCTGTACTTGTTCTTCAATAAATTTCCACTTTTGCTATACCACCTTCCATCAGTGGATTCATTCTTCAATTCCCATGGACAAAGAACACTGGGAACCAGTCTGCCCAGGGGAACACTGCGTGTTCCAGTCTAAAAATTCCATTTCACTAGGCAGTTCACTTCCCTAAGGAGAGACCACACATAACATCAGGAATGTGAACTCACACTAAGAGTCTCATAATTTAGTGGTAGCAAGAGAAGAGAGACTAGAGACAGGGAGAAAAGTTAAACTGGTGCTGCAATGACCCAGGAGTGAGATGCATTTGTGTATCTCCTAACAAAGGGGCAGGCTCCCTGTAGCAACATCTATACTGTGCAACTCTGTTCCCAACCAGAATGAATTGTTTTAAGGGAAGACATCTCACCCAAGTAAACCAATCATATTCTCTTACCTGAGAATTTGAAACTTGGGAAAGAGACACAATGACTGGGGATCCTTTGAGCTGATTCAATAATGGCAGAACTGCAGAGAGATGCTGTTGAGTTTCTTGGAACTATCTTGCTTTCTGCTTTCTGGAGATTTGATTGTTAATTTCTTCCTAAGCTTCAGTTACAAGTATTAGTGTCCTTCCTAAAACTTTATTACTTGCTTCCTCAATTAATTAAATATCACTGGATGAGCAGTAGAAGGTCCTATGTAAATCTATGGAGCATAAGAAGAAATATATAGAACAATGAAATAGAATGAAAAGTTCAGAAATAAACCCTCATATAATGGCAAATTGATTTTCAACAAGATTACCAAGACAATTCAATGAGGAAAAAAATATTTTTTTCAACAAATGATTCTGGGATGACTGGATACTTATATGCAAAGAAATAAAATTGCATGCTTATCTTCCATCAAATAGAAAAATTAACTCAAAATTGATCAAAGATCTAAATGTATAATTCTAAAACTCTTACAAGAAAGCATGTGCATAAATCTTCATAATTTCAAATTAGGTAATAGTTTCTTAAATATGACACTAAAAGCACAAGCAAAAAATTAAAAAATAGATAAATTGAGTATCATTAAATTTAAAAGTTTTGTGCTTCAAAGAACCCATCAAGAAAGTGAAAAGACAACTTACAGAGTGAAAGAAAATTTTTGCAAATCATATCTCTAACAAGATACTTGTACTTAGAATATACAAAGAACTTTTACAACTCAATAATGAAAAGATAGCTGAATTGAAAATGGGCAATGGATTTCAATAGATATTCTCCAAAGGAAGTGTTAAAATGGCCAATAAGCATACAAAAGATGCTCAACATTATTAATCATTAGGAAGGTACACATAAAATCAATGAGGTCCACTTCATACCCACTAGGATGATATAATTGAAAAGACAATAATAAATGTTGGCTTGGAAGTGGAAAAATCAGAGCTCTCACATGCTATTGGGAGGAGCATACAGAGATACAGTCACTTTGGAAAATAGTCTGGCAGCTCCTCAAAAGATTAAACATAGAGCTACCACATGACACAATGTTACTCCTAGATATATGCCTGAGATAAACTAAAATATATGTCCATACAGAGAATCATACATGAATGGTCATAGTAGCATTATTCATAATAGCTAGAAAAAGTAAAGGCAACCTAAATGTCCAACTGAAGAATGGATAAATAAAATATGGTATATTGTGGGGAAGCATTAGACTTGGTGGGAAAGTTTGTAAGGACATTCTGATAAAAGGGAAGTGTGGCCCTCGCTGGTTTTGCTCAGTGGATAGAGCATCAGCCTGTGGACTGAAGGGTCCCAGGTTTGATTCCAGTCAAGGGCACATGCCCAGGTTGCGGGCTATGGAACCTGTAAATTTTCTTTCTGCCTCACTCTTTTGGGGAAGCATCGGCCTTGGTTGGAAAGTTTGTAAGGAGGACATTGGAGAAAAGGGATGTGTCCTTATGGCGGCCCACCCTGTTTATCTGGATTTTGACGAAGGCGGCGCCCCTAATTATTCCTTGACCTTTACAAACAAGTCTGTGCATGCGCAGCCCCCTAGGTGTTTACTGGAATCCTTATGCTTAATCCCTGGATGCCCTTGCCTAAAGGACAATGTAAGCACATGTGTCCTCCCAAGATTACTCACCCTACTGATTGTATCTTAAGATAAAAATTCCAATAAAAGCCTAATGAGGCAGACAATGGAGGCTGCCTGGCTTCTTCCGCCGGGCCGTCCCTTAGCCCTCTCTCCTACAATGAAATTTTGTCAGAGTAATCTGTCCATCTGTTGTTCAGGGGCTGCTGGTCAGCCCCGGCAGTATATTCATAAAATGCAATACCATTTGGCAAAAAAAAGTAGTAGTACATGAATTAACTATAAAAGCATTATTCTTCCTAATGAATAACACTCTGTAAAGGTCATATTGTGGTTGAATGATAACAGAGTGAAGAGTTGATCCTCAGTTACTATGATGTTATAAAAGAGAATTAATTAATGGGGATGTCCTGTTACCAACCCCTTTTACTTTTTTCATTGGAGATGAATTAAGCATTCCCATTCTAGTACTAATAAATTTAACTTTATTAGGTCATTTTTATTTTAATGAACACCTTTTTTTTAATAACTATTAAAGAAAAAGTGACTGTTGTCACAAGTATTCTGAAGTACAATTCAAATAATTTTGACAATAATCATACTTACTTGAGCTCTTATTTTTTCCCCAATTAGCACATATGTCAAAAAGGATTAGTATAGTATTATGCCCAAATTCTTACTAATGTTAAAAAGAATGTCTAAATGTAACCTTATTTCAATATTAAGATAAATATCTTTGTTGGTTATTTTCAAATATATTAAAGAAAATGGTGTTAAATGTAAAAGAAAGAAAGAAAACACTATGCTAAGTAAAAGAGTATAAATTTTATTTATATCAAATGTCTGGAATAGGTAAATCTATACAGACAAAAGGTAGATAAGAGGTTGTCCTGAGCCAGGGGAGGAGGTGGGCTGCGGGGTGGAGGTGGGGTGGGAGAAGGGGGAAGAGGTGTGTAGAGGAAACTGGTGAGGGATTTCTTTCTGGAGTTATGAAAATGTCCCAAAATTGATGGTGGTGATGGTTGCACATATCTATGGATATATTAAAAACCATTGAATTGGTCTACATGAGTGAATTTATGAAACGTGAATTACATCTTAATAAAGCTATTGCTAAAAATATATATGGAAAAGTAGATATCAAAATGCTTTTGTGAACCCCTCAGCAAATTTGGGGGTTCAGTGGAGACTCTCCTGGGGTTCAAGGAACAGGACCACATGTTATAAAGAGCTGGAATGTGGCAGTGACACTGCATATTAATACTGTGCCGCAATATTAAAGTTCTACTAGGCAACTCTAGAATTGCTTTAGTACTATTTTTGTGCCTAGCTGGGCTTGTCCTCTGATCCCAAGGCCTCAGATATCCAGAGAACAGATAGGGTTTTATTTATTTATTTATTTATTTAATTATTTTTTTATTTTATTTATTTTGCCTCTGAATCTGAGCCCCAGGTGCTAGGAGAATTCCTGGATTCAGCATCTAGTGATGTTTCATTTGGCCTTTGACTTCAGCAGCTGGAGCCTATTATTCTTTGTGCAGAAAATAAATCAGGGCACTCTAGTTTTGCTATGATGATCAAGGCAGAACAACATTGCCATCTAAGGTCAGTGCTATCTGCCATTAATCAGACTAATTCAGAATACCGAAGATAGAGCTCTGTAGGCCCTACATAATCAGATTAATGAATGGGAGGAAGAAAAATCACATTTCCAGACCTGGTGTAAGTGACTTGAAAATGTAGTCATACCCTTCATCATTAATACTCTAAAAGAGAGATCTCCCAAATAGAATGTGTTCATCCGAAAGGAGGCCCAAGATAACCTACCTACAGGGGTGCAACAGCATTATATTATCATTTCCGTGTATTCTTTTATTTTAACTGCTAACATAATTTTATTAATTGCAATAGATATAACTTCCAATATATACCATTGAAACATAAACTTTTTTTATGTGCTTCAGTAAGATATGGGAGGGAGCACCCTGACTGGTTTGGCTCAGTGGATAGAGCATCGGCCTGTGGACTGAAAGGTCCCAGGTTCGATTCCGGTCAAGGGCATGTACCTTGGTTGCGGGCACATCCCCAGTTGGAGGTGTGCAGGAGGCAGCTGATTGATGTTTCTCTCTCATCAATGTTTCTAGCTCTCTATCCCTCTCCCTTCCTCTCTATAAAAAAACCAATAAAATATACTTTTTAAAAAAAGATATGGGAGGGAGTATTTTGCTTTGGAGTTTCCAATTCTCTTTTTTTTCCCCATTTAAATTCTTCATTGTTTAAAGTATTACATGAGTTTCCTTTTTCCCCCATTGACCTCTCCCCTGCCACCCCCACCCCCAAGCACAAGCCCTCAACCCCCTACTGTCTGTGTCCATTGGTTTTGCTCATATGCATGCATACAAATCCTTTGGTTGATCTCTTACCCCTCACCCCCTGCCTTCCCTCATAGCCCGGCATTCCCGCTGCAGTTTGACAATCTGTTTGAGGCAGCTCTGCCTCTGTATACTTTTAGTTTTTTGAGGAAATGCCATATTGCTCTCCACAGTGGCTGCACCAGTCTGCATTCCCACCAGCAGTGCAAGAGGGTTCCTTATCCAATTTTAAAGTACTGTTTGCAGTCAATGACTTAGAGAATACAGCATAAAAAACCCCCTCGCCTCTTTTTTTTTAAAAATCTTCACTTATTATTAAACAAGAGACCTGGTGCATGAAATTTGTGCATGGGTGGGTTCCATAGGCCTGGCTGGCAATCAGGGCTGATCAGGTTCCCCACGCCCCCACCTCCTCCTTCCCTCACCACCCACGCACCACCACCACACGATTCCCCACCTCTCCCCCCAGTCCTTGTCCTTCCCTCACCATCCACATCCACCGCTACCCACCCAGATTGGGTGATTGGGAACTGCCGGCCAGGGGGGAGGGACTGGGAGGTTGGCTGGCAAGCCTGCTGGCCATGGGGAGGGGCCACCCATCACTGGCGGGCAGGCAGGGGGCCAATCGGGGCCTGCCAGCTCAGGGGAGAGATGGGGGGGAGGGACCAGGGAGGATGACTGCCGGCCTCAAGGAGGGAGCTGGCCATTGGCCCCCTGGGAAAGGGGCCACATCTGCCACCACCTACCCCCAGTTCCCCGTTCCAGCCCAGGGGTCTGGCCCCAATCGGGCGATTGGGGCCTGCTGGCCGGAGGGAAGGACCAGGAGGTTGGCCAACAGACCCCATCAGCAATTGGGAACTGTGGTCTGGGTACAGCTCCTGCATTGAGTGCCTGCCCCCTGGTGGTCAGTAAGCATCATAGTGACTGGTCGTTCCTGTCGTTCTGGTCATTCCATTGTAATGGTTGCTTAGGCTTTTATAGATATAGATTCCCTTTGTGGCAATATGCATTTTCAGTGGCTCTACCTGCTAAGGACTGCTTTTTCTAAACAGTGACAGAGTTTAATTCTCACTCCCACTCCTCCAACCTCTCCTGGCCCCACTGAATCTTTGTTTTCATCCTCTAATTCTTTTTGCTTTTTGTTTTTTGTTCTACATGAAACTGTGTAATCTCTTCATTTTCCCGTGATGTATTTTAGCAGTGAATGACTCCTCCTGGCTAAGAGCTTCACATCTTCTGTGTTAATTGTGCTTCTTTTCCCATGTCTGTCAATAAGAGAATCGCTGCTGCTCCTCAGCCCCCTCCTCCTCTTCCTTTATCACTGTGGCGGATCCAGGCAGGCACATGAGTATGTAAAGAGTTCCATGTATTCTTTATTTCATTTCTTTCAGTGTATATTTTTGTTTCTGTTTTAAAATATACAAAATATGTTAGGAGAGTTGTATATGCATATTACTTGTAAATATATAAATAAATGTTAATGAAGGTGCTCAAAAACTTTTGCTAGTTTAGTGCAATTTTCTTTGATGTTCAGGGGACCATTGCTCTGAAGGATGTTTTGGTTTATTGCTAAACGGAGGGGTGAAGATTGACTTAAATATGTGATTTACATTTGGGATCTAGCCCCCAAAGAAAAACTAGTTCGGAATACCTATTTGCAAATATTTACTTATTTTTTAGTATAACTTGATCATAACAGCTCAAATCTATAGTGCTCAATTGTCTCCCCACACGAACAGGAGCAAACACCCACTTGGCCAGCCCTGCGTGGATTCCTAAGCATTTTATCCCTTTTCTTCACTAATTGGGCAATATGCTCCAAGCAGAGATTCAACCCAGCTTGAAGGATCTACTCTGACTTTAATGTTCTTGGCAAAAATATCAATTCGCCTTCATTGCTATTCTGAGAACTGACCTTGTGCTTTGGCCCTGAGACCAATTCCCAATCAATACCTGGTTCTAATAATTGATTCCTATTTTGTACCCTGTGTCTAAGTCTGGATCCAAAAATCCCACATACTACTCATTCCTACAGGGATGGGAATTACCATATACCTCACCAATCCCAAGGTATGTGATTAAATAATGGGTACCTGCTGACAGAGTTTTCAGTGTTTGGGTTCTTGGAATGTTCACATGTAGATAAAAAAGTGAAGCTATGCATAATTACCTAAAGAATCCTTGCAATGTATTGTCAGTATTGATAACCAGAAGGAATGTTCTTGATCAGCATTTAAATGTTCTCTTCAGTGAACAATGACCAGCATTTAAATGTCCTGTTTAGTGGACAAAGCTCTTTTTTCTAAAAACACAAAGCTGTTGCACATAAAACCTCTTTAAACATAAAACAAAATCAAAGGGAATTGTTGAGTGTGTCCAATCTGGAGGACATAGTTAGGGCCAAGCCACTAAACTTTCCTTTGAGAATTGGACACTACTTGCAATGGTGAGGAATTTAGCAGACCCCCTGAATCTTGGATACCTGCAGATGGCTTCTCTTTTTCTCCATGTTCAGCCCTTCTTGAGTTGATGCTCAAAAAGTCTATGAATTGAATTACTTCCATTTTTCCAGTAGCAATGTCTCTCTACTTCTTAACTATTTTCACTTTTCTTATTCTTTCTAGATTTTAAAAAATTATCTGTAGGTGTTAGGGGCAAGGAGGGAGAAATAGAATAGTGGGGACTAGCTATAGTGGTAAGAAATATTAATCATGCTCAGTTAACCATGATTGTTTTGTTCTGATTAAAGAAAGCACATTCTGACGTGGCTGAGAGTGTAGGCCCCAGACCTGGGAGTTAACCTCCAAATGCGGTCCATTCTCCTTATCCGAGAATTACCTTTCATCATGGAAATATTAACAATCTTGTTGCCAAAACAATGGAGTCCTGGAGGTGCCCAGCCTTTGCAATCTCTAGCCCACATTGCCTGTAACCTGTAACTATTATACCTGTTCTTATTCCTTTTGCCTATTTCTCCTTGCCTGTAATTCCTTTTGCCAACTTCCTCATTTAATCTTTGTCCTTCTACCCAACATAAGCATCTGGCTTATGGGTGGTGGTAGAGAAGATTTTTTTGGATGACCTGCTGCTCTACCATGCTGCCGGCATTATTGGAAAATAAAATGCTTATATATGATTCAACCCTGTCTCTATTCAATTAACTATAGTAGTGACAGGTAGCCTACACATATTTGTTGTCTGGCTTAATAAGAAATACACTCAGGATTTATCATAAAGTGTTCTGAAAGGAATTCAGATTTGTCTCACCTATATGTCCATGCTTTTGCTTAACTCCCTCATAGCCTTGAACACATGACCATTTATTAGATTTCATGGCTGACTAAGAGAACTAGATTTCATTCTAGGTCAGATGGAGTCTTGTTGATGAGACCCATTCCACCTCATCTAATCACACCTATCAGAGAAGCATACTTGATCACTGATTACCTAATCACCAAATAACTCCTGGAAGTGTGTCAAGAGTTAAGAGTTACTACGTCTTATAGAGTTTCTTCATCTGTCAGTATCCTCATATCTTAAATTGCTAATATTACCCACACCACTGGATGATTGTTGGAATAAAAAGTATGCATACCTGCATAACCCTTGGGCACAGACAATAGTGTGGTTAAGGCCTGGGGAGGGGGTGGGCGTGGGGGGAGGTCAATGAGGGGAAAGAAAGGGACATCTGTAATACATTCAACAATAAAGATATGGTTTTAAAAAAGTAAGTGTTATTAAAATTAATGCAATACATTCTTACTACGTATCATAATAGTGAATTCAACATGTAACAAGTTCTTCATAGAATATTTCATTTGAATATTTATGCATGATTTCATCTGACTGTACAAGACAAAATTTCTTCTTTTTATGTAAAAAATATTTTTATTGATTTCAGAGAGAAGGCAGAGGGAGAGATAGAATCATCAATGATGAGAGAGAATCATCAATCAGCTGCCTCCTGCATGCCCTCCACTGGGGATCAAGCCTGTAACCTGGACATATGCCCCAACTGGGAATTGAACTGTGATCTCCTGGTTCATAGGTCAATGCCCAACCACTGGGCAACACTGGCCAGATGAAATTTCTTCTTGCTATCTGACTTAAATTCTCCTTCAATAGTCCTTCTCTCTTGCTTTCCCAAGGCATGCTCATCACCACCAAGACCAGACCTTTCTGTTAGGTCTGTGCCAACAGGAGCCAGGCCAACAGATGTGAGAGTTTAAGAAATTTTATTACATTCTCTCACAGCAAGCTGAGACCAGTGTGTTGGTGTCAGCACCAAGGGAGTGTTTATGTCCTCTTATATAGGGACTGGGCCAGGGTTGCACCAGCCAGCTGGGGTACTGCCTGAACAACAGGACGTCCTGGGAAAATAGCAGGATACCTGGTGGGTGCACAACTCAGGGAGAGGGGAGCGCCAGAGTTGGCTGGGGAGTGTATCTTCTGCAGGTGCAGGTCGTTTGCTTCAAACTATGGGGAAAAAAACTTATGATAATATATTTCAAAAAAAAAAAAAAGGCTACTGGCAGGAAGCCAAGGAGGGAGAGTGTGTGAGAGAGTGAGGGAGCTATAGAGGAGTGTGTGGACGTGTGTGGGTGTGTGTGTGAGTGAAATAGGGACAGTTAGATCCTGCAGGTCTTTCAAGGGGCTGCCAATCCGCACAGTCTTAGACCGCAAAACCCCGCTGCCTCCGCAAACACTCTGGGGAGGACACCAGCGGGGCAGAGACCACACCATCTTGAAGAACAGAACTGCTTGAGACTAGGATCCTAGCCTCGTCACCACCCAGTCTGGTCTCGGTAGCAAACCGGAACCCCACAGCCGCTCTGGTAGAAGACCTGCGACCACAGCTGCAGACCCAGGGACACCAAGACTCCAGGCACCCCGGCTGAAGATTTCTGTGAGTCACAAAGCCAATCCTGCTCCCCCGCCGCCCCCATCCCCGGGGCAGCAGCATAGGAACTGCCAGAACCCGGCTGCACAATAGGGCTGTCTGCACACACTCAGCAGCAGCAGCTCTGCCTGACTTGGAGCCTTGGTGTCGACATGGGAAGTTTGTTTCCCAGGACCAGGCCCCACGGGGCGGGGAGACTGTACTGAATTTGAGCCTAGGTCAGTGATGGGGAACCTTTTGAGCTCGGCGTGTCAAAATTTTGAAAAACCCTAACTTAACTCTGGTGCCATGTCACATATAGAAATATTCATAAATTTTTTTTTGATAGTTGCAATCATAGTAAAAAAAATTTTATATTTTTGATATTTATTTTATATATTTAAATGCCATTTAACAAAGAAAAATCAACCAAAAAATGTGTATAAAATGAACAAAAACAGAAAAACAATATATATTTAGGACAAAATAATAATAAAAACGATAATCAAATGGTATGAAAACTAGAAATTAGTGACTTTTTTGGTGCTGAAGTTGGTCTGCTAATTCTTCGATTGCAGGTTCATACTTGGTACACTTCAAGCAAGTGCCACCAACTTAATCTGTTAGCCGGTTTCTTTTGTTCGTTTTAATATTATTTAATGCTGAGAACAAAGTATCACGAAAATATGTTGATGAAAAAATTGTTAGTAAAGCCATCGCTAGATTTTTTATGTCGCTAAAAGTGTCAGGTACTCTGTTCCAAGCACTCAAAATTTCTTGTTCGTAGTTGCACTCTTCTTCATTATTCAAACAATTTCGTTCCAGATTTTCAAGTTTTGACCTTAAGTCGACAAACACATGAGTCCAAATGCTACCTTGAAAATCTGCAAGTTGCATCTCTAAATCGTCGATTTGCATCCACTGGAAATCCTTTAATTCCAAAGTACTGTAAACAACTACATCTGGATACTTAATTATTTTAATGGTCTGTTCTAGGCTTCTAAATTGGTTGAATCTTTCGCTGAACTGTTCAAATAACAACTTTACTATATTCTGGTACATAAGTATGGACTCCATTACACTCGTTGTAGTGGCCTTCTCGAAATACTTTTTTATCCGAGGAAAATACATATAAGTTTTAGTTTCAGTATCTCTCTTGAAAATTTTAAGTTTACTTTCAAAAGATTTGATGTATCCAAACATAACGTCAATACTTTTGCCAAAACCTTGTACTTTTAGGTTCAGTTCATTCATATGAACAGAGAGAGCTGTAAAAAACATCAAATTGCTGACCCACTTATGATCATTGATCTGAGGAAAGTTTGCCAGGTCCTTATTCTCAATAAATACTGTAATTTCTTCAAAGCACTCCACAAATCGCTCAAGTACTTTACCTCGACTCAGCCATCTCACATTATTGAACATCAGTAGTCCACTGTAGTTTGAATCAACTTCCTGTAAAAGTGCCGAAAATTCTCGCTTGTGAAGGGGTCAAAAAGCTATAAAATTCACAATTTTTGTTACAACTGACATTAAATCATATAATTCTGAGAATCCCGATTTGGCACACACCTCCTGATGGATAATGCAATGAAAAGGTACAAGTGGATGTCTAATAGCTTCCATAAACAATTTCAGGAATCTCACATTTTTTTCCCACCATATTTTGTGCCCCATCTGTTGTGACTAACACAATTTTAGAGATATCAATATTTAGGTCACTGAATGTTTTTACAACAACCTTACATATTTCGTTTCTTGATGTACCGTATTTGCCGGCGTATAAGACGACTGGGCGTATAAGACGACCCCCTAACATTTCCACTCAAAATACAGAGTTTGTTATATACTCGCCGTATAAGACTACCCCCTCTTCCGCACACCTTCCACACACCAAATAAAAGGTAAAACAATATCAGATTTGATTTTAACATTTTAATTTATATTCAAATGCTTATGACATGCAGGAAAACTGTCACAAGGCTGTATGTAATCAAACATATACATAAAACAGTGCAAGTTTATTACCGGTAAACATACCGGTAATTCACTAAAGAAAACACACTCTATAGACTGGTACCGTAGATGCTTCTCAGGAACACAGGCAAGCAGCCCACAACCTAGAGGGACTGTCAATGATAGAAG